AATTTTTTTTTATTTTCGTGTAAACTTTTTTTTTATTTACTTATTTACATCTAAATTTATAATTCTTTTTAACAATTTTTTTATATTCTGTAATCTCTTTTTTTAATTTCTTATTTTTATTTATTTTTCGCTACATTTTTGAAAATTATTTTCTTTGTGAATTCTTTTTTTATTTCTTTGTAGCTAAATTATTCTTTTCATTTTTTGTTGTTGAAATTTTTATTTACTTGTGCCTAAATTTTCAAAAAAAAAAAAAAATATTATCTTGGAAAATTTTATTTATTTATTTGTACTTAAATTTTTCCATAATTATTCTTTTCGAATAAATTTATTTATTTGTTCCTAAAATTTCCTTTCATTATTTTTTCTTTGTATTTTTTTTTTATTTCATTGTAATTTTTTTCTGTTTATTCTTTTTGTGATTTTTTTGTAACTCTTTTGTTTATTGTTTTTGTCATTTTTTTCATTTTTCTTTTAGAATGTTTTGTTCTTGTTTTGTTTACTCTTTTTTGCAATTTTTTTGTACTTCATTTGTTTAGTCTTTTTGAAATTTTTTGTAATTCATTTGTTTAGTCTTTTTGCAATTTTTTTTTTAATTCGTTTATTCATTCTTTCAGTAATTTTTTGTAATTCTTTTGGCAATTTTTTGTAATTTGTTTATAATTTTTCATAATTCTTTTTATTTATTCTTTTGTCAAATTTTTTTAATTTGTTTGTTTAGTCTTTTTGCAATTTTTTATAATTCGTTTGTTTATTCTTTTTGTAATTCGTTTATTTATTCTTTTAGTTATTTTTTGTAATTCGTTTGGTAATTTTCATAATTCCTTTTATTTATTCTTTTGTCAAATTTTTGCAATTTGTTTGATAACTCTTTTGGCAATTTTTTGGAATTAATTTGTTTATATTCTTTTTGGTAATTTTTTGCAATTCGTTTGTTTATTTTTCGGGAATTTTTTTTTTGCAATTCTTTTGTGTATTATTTTGGTAATTTTTCGTAATTCTTTTGTTTATTCTTTTTGATAATTTTTTTGGTAATTTTCTTTTAGACAATTTTTTTGGTAATTTTCTTTTAGACAATTTTTTTGGTAATTTTCTTTTTGATAATTTTTTTGGTAATTTTCTTTTTAAATTTTTTTTTTTTTGCTTGCAGTAATTTTAAATGTATTAGTCCACAAAATTTCGGTCAAGCTAAGGACAAATAATTGGTGTCATCATTCAAAACAAGTCTTTCTATACAGATGTATATTTTTCTAAATGCCCAGAGTCATTCCTCACCCGGTAAAGTCTCAACAAGTCAAAATAAATTTTCTGTGCAATTTCTTTCAGTGATACGGGGCAGAGGAAAGAAAAAAAGTTGTTATACTGGTTAACCGGCTAATACCCCGTATAACGGTTATTGTAGTTAGACATGTATATGGGCAATTCCACGTGAGATTTCAGTCGACCTCTTAAAATCGGCCAAAAATATTTTTTTTCTATTCTGTATTGAAAAAAAACAGATACGTATTTTTTTATTATTTTTTTGAAGGCCAAATTTTTGAGTTATGAATTTTCAAAATTTTCGCTTTTTAAATGTAGGTATATTTTTAATGTCAGATAACTCAAAAAATATTGCTTCTTTTCATTTTTTGACAAGAGAAAAAAAGTTTTGTTTTTCTCTCTACTTTTGAATAATCATAACAACAAATTTTTTTTTTCATTTTTTATTAAAAAAATAAAAAAATTTTATAAACTAATTAATTTTTTTTAACTTTGGGTATGATAAATTTTTAATTTTCTTTTTTTAAAACATACCTGGAAATGATAAGAAGGTTTTGCAAAAAGTTTCAGAGTGGGCCTGACAAGTTTGATGGGTCCAAAAAAATAATTAAGCTGTCCATGCAGGTCGCACGCACGTGGCACAATGGGATTTTTTTACAATTTATTATTAAAAATTGTCTAGAGCCTACAAATTTTATCGGATTTTGATTATTTTTGAATTTTTAGGCTCTAAACAATTTTTAATAATAAATTGTAAAAAAATCAAATTGTGCCACGTGCGTGCGACCTGCACGGAGAGCTTAATTATTTTTTTGGACCCATCAAACTTGTCAGGCCCACTCTGAAACTTTTTGCAAAACCTTCTTATCATTTCCAGGTATGTTTTAAAAAAAGAAAATTAAAAATTTATCATACCCAAAGTTAAAAAAAATTAATTAGTTTATAAAATTTTTTTATTTTTTTAATAAAAAATGAAAAAAAAAATTTGTTGTTATGATTATTCAAAAGAAGAGAGAAAAACAAAACTTTTTTTCTCTTGTCAAAAAATGAAAAGAAGCAATATTTTTTGAGTTATCTGACATTAAAAATATACCTACATTTAAAAAGCGAAAATTTTGAAAATTCATAACTCAAAAATTTGGCCTACAAAAAAATAATAAAAAAATACGTATCTGTTTTTTTTCAATACAGAATAGAAAAAAAATATTTTTGGCCGATTTTAAGAGGTCGACTGAAATCTCACGTGGAATTGCCCATATATATGCAACAGGATTTACGGCAGTGACAAATGGTAGCAAAGTTTACCAATCTTGGGCTAAACATGTTGCGTTGTATACACTGTGTATGTTCACTGACACAACCAAGGAAAATTGTCAGTTCACTATATAACGACACGACGTAGTTTTCATGGGTTAGTATCATACTGGGACGAAGAGGGAAGCTGTATTGATTGGACGCTTTGCCGGGGACCACCACACAACCACCACTTTTACCGCTTCTCTCTATCTCTCTCTCCTCTCTCTCTTACTCTCTTTCTCTCTCTTTCGCTCTTTTCTCTCTATATTTTTCTCTTTCGTTCTTTTCTCTCTCTATTTTTTCTCTTTCGCTATTTTTCTCTCCTTATTTTTTTCTCTTTCGCTATTTTTCTCTCGTTCGTTCTTTTTCTCTCTCTATTTTTCCCTCTTTCGCTCTTCTCTCTCTCTCAAATTTTTTCTCTCTCGCTATTTTTCTCTCTCTCTATTGTGTTCTTTCTCTCTTTTTATTTTTCGCCCTTTATCTTTCTATTTCTCTCTCTCTCTCTCTCTCTCTCTTTCGCTCTTTTTCTTTTTTTTTCTTTCTCTCTCTCTCATCCTTGTTTTCTCCCCCAAGCAAAACCTCATAGTTTTAACACCACGTGTTCCCATAATCTGTACGTGTCGAACGATCGTGCCCATAGTTTTTTTTTTAACCCACTTTATTTCCTTTTTTTTCTCTCATTTCCTCTTATTATTTAATTCATTTCTCTCTCAAGTAACTCCATTTTCCAACCGAACTACTTTTATCTTCTGATAATTTACGAGTTTTCTTCCTTTTTTATTCCTTTTGAATTATGCAGATTTTAATTTTCCTGAAATATATGATTATATATATATATGTATGCAGAGGAAAACTTACATTCTCATTTTCTGAACATTTCAAATTAACGTAATTTGTTATATACGTGAAACTTTTCTTTTGGATCGACTTTTTCCTTCCAAAATGAAATATAGCGTCATTTGTGGAGTGATTAATTTTTTCCCCTTTAATTATTATTTTGTATTATTAATTATTAATTGTTTGAAATTATTTTTTTTCTATTATAATTTATTTAAAATTACTTTTTAATTGTATTAATTTTTGTAACTGTTAATTTTAATTTTTTAACTATTAAATTTTTTTGGAAAAATGGTTTTATTATAATTTTGAATATAACAATAATTGAGCGTTTAGGGGATATAATGTATAATTTTGAAAAAGGTCAAAATTTATTGAAACGGAGATGAGGGCAAACTTGAAAATTTAGGTCAAAAGGAAAAAATTACGTTAAATTTCACGTAGGTCAAGAGGAGTGAACGTAATATCCAGGTCACGCAGGTCGAGAGGGGAAGATAATTTCGAAATTCAGATCAAAATTCATATTATAGGTCTAGTGGCCGGGAGATGAAATGAAAATTCAAGTCAAAAATCGTAGGTCAAGAGCGGCGTTAATATCAAAATCAGAATATTAGTTAAATCAAATATAGGTCAAGTTCGTATTAGAAAATAATTTTATTACCAATTTATTGTCGGTACTTTTAATAAAATGAATAAAAAACTAATAAATATGAATAAATAAATAATATACATTTATTAAATAATAAAAATAATTAAAAAAATAATATATAATAATAATATAAAAAATATAAATAATAAAAAAATAATAAATAAAAAAATAAAATTATAGTATTAATAAAGTTAAAAAATTAGAATTTTAAATTACAGTTAAAGTAAGTTTAAATAAATAAGTTGAAAAAAAATATAAGAACATGTAGAAATTTTTTTTTCGTACTAATTATTTGATTTTATTTTTCGCAGTGAATTACCTTGGAAAAAATTTTTTAATGGAAAGCAAAATCTAAGGGTTTTAAATAATGTCGCTTTAAAGCAGTATTAAATGTTTTGAATCCCTAAAAGCCCTTTCACCGCTTATTCCACTTTCATAAATCAAGTCATAACTTTTATATATATATTTACCCCCATACATTACAGAGGCAACAGTATGTAACAGGTGTCAGTGTCGGATTATGATATAATCGATGACAGGGCAAAATATATAACTATATACATTTAATAAAAATTAAATAATTATTAAAAAAAAAATTCAGACTTAAAACTTCCAAGAAGTGTAAATTTACATTTATAGAAAAATAAACAAATGCTAATTTAATTTACTTTTTTGAATAGATTATAGTTTTGAATAAGATTATAATTAATTTATTATAGTTAATTAATTATAGTTAGATAATTATTAATTATAATAAATTAATTGTAGTTACTTACTTATATTTAATTAATTATGGTTGATTAATTATAGTTAGTTGATTATAGTTAGATGATTATAGTAAATTAATTATAGTCAGTTAATTATAGTCAATTTGCTTATATTTAACTAATTATGGTTGATTAATTATAGTTAATTAACTAATGACAATATTGTTTTTAAAAAAATGTGTATTACTTACTTTTCACCTTTTCGCGTATGAATTTTTTCTTTAAATCCCCTCTAGTCACCTGTAAATAGAAGAAAAAATTTTATTCAACTAATTATGTACAAAGGACGTGTAAATTAATTATCGTTATAGGCAAATTTTGAAAATTTTAGTTTCACTCGATTTTTTAAACTTTAGTTTCCCTTTTCTTTGAAACTAGGTATAAAACTGAGAAAATATATATTTATTATGTAATTTATTAATTAGTAAGTCAGAAAAATATTTTTTTTTTTCCGGAGTCTCTTTTCCTTCTAATTAAAAAAAGCAGGAAGTTCAAATAGTGAATAAAAAAAAATGACAAATATATATATAAGGAAATTTAACTTTCATTAACGCTGTTTAATTACTTTTCATCACGAATGTAAATTTGTCAAGAATATTTTAAGAGTTAGGAGTCCTTATTGCATCAATTTCAAATTAATTATACGTGAAAAATGTTCTTTTTTCGAAAAGAAAAAAAATAATCAATATTTCCACTTACAATTCGTCAAGTAACATGAGAATAATTATAAAAATTGTAAAAAATAAAAGGAAACGAAAGGTAAAAGAAATAAAAACAAAAGGAAAGGAAAAAAAGAGAAATAAAAACAAAATAAAAAGAAAAGAAATAAAAACAGAAGGAAACGAAAAGAAAGAGAAATGAAAACAAAAAGAAACGAAACGAAACGAAACGAAAAGAAAAGAAAATAAAAACAAATATGAACAAAATGAAAAAGAAATTAAAACAAAAAGAAAAAAAAGAAGAAAAAATGAAGAGAAGAAAAAAGAAATAAAAACAAAAAGAAACGAAAAGAAAAACAAATAGAAACAAGATGAAAAAGAAATTAAAACAAAAAGAAAAAAATGGAAGAAAAAAGAAATAAAAACCAATAGAAAAAAATTGAAAAGAAATTAAAACAAAAAGAAAAAAGGGAAGAAAAAAGAAATAAAAATAAATAGAAAAAAATTGAAAAGAAATTAAAACAAAAAGAAAAAGAAAGAAGAAAAATTATCAGTGCACATAGAAAAAGTTTATTTAGACTAATAAAATTACAAATAATCAACAGTCATTAGAAATAAAGACTGGATGTTTAGTGAATGTAACAAACACGCATCTATTCATTGAATGTATAAGAAACAAAGGATCAATACAAACAGTCTCGGATTCTATTCGTTTCCGTTGAAAATGTAGGATGTCAGGATGCGATGGAAGAGGACGTTTCCGCTTTCCTTTTTGTTCAAGCTGACACTCCACTTCCTACTTCTAAGGAGTCTCTCTTCCATTCATTCAGAATGAAAATCAAATTATTATTTAACAAACTTTATTGTCATCTAGACTCGATATTATTTTTATTATATACACAATCGTCGCAACAAAAACAGTTAATAAATATTTTCTTTCCCTTCAATTATGTTGAGTTTCAATTCAATTTTTCAATTTTCATAAAAAAAATATAATATAATCGATTTTTGCAAATCGTTTATGCAAAATATCTATATTTCGATTTTATTATATTTTTATTATTTATTTTATTTTTATTATGTTCTTTATTAACATTAAATTTTAATATTAAATTTTAATATTGCAATAAATTATTTTATTTTTATTTTTTATTTTTATTTTATTCCTATTTTTTATTTCTATTTTATTTTTTTTATTTCTATTTTATTCTTTTTATTTCTATTTTATTCGTATTTTTTTTAATGTTTACTATTGAAGGGAATTTTTACAATCGACAGTAATTAGAATTGATGTTCATTATACACAATGTTAAAATGGACTTTAATTAAACTTTGAATAAATTGAAATGAAATTAACAGAAAAATTTGCAATTACAATCGATTGTGGGGCGAATGTAATTTTTACCTAATATAATTTATGGTTATACGACAACTTATTAGGAAACGCAGACTTATGTGGATTTTAATGGAAAAATAATGTAATATCTCTGGGATAAATTATAGTGTGTAATTCGAAATATCTATTTGGTAATAACTGCGAGTATAAGATTATCAATGCGGGTTGATTATTTAGTATGGCTGTACGCTTCGATGGATAAACTCCCATACACTCATGCATACACTTGCAAATTATCATCCTTTATGGAAAATTCTGAACAAATTTCTTATATTTGTTTTTCTATTTTAAGTATTTTATTTATTCTATTGATTTTATTATTTTGTTAATTTTATATTGATTTTATTAATTTTATTGATTTTATTATTTTATTATTTTATTAATACTACTAATTATTAAAGTTAATTAATTAATCGACATTTTATTTATAATTTGATTAATCTTATTAATTTTTTTTATTTTATCAATTATTTCATTAATTTTATTAATTTTATTAATTTTATTAATTTTATTAATTTTATTAATTTTATTAATTTTATTAATTTTATTAATTATTAATTTTATTAATTTTATTAATTTTATTAATTTTATTAATTTTATTAATTTTATTAATTTTATTAATTTTATTAATTATTAATTTTATTAATTTTATTAATTTTATTAATTTTTTAAATTTTTAAATTTTTGTAAAGAAAAATTTTTCGATTGATTGTTACAAAATATTTTCTGTTGTAAATTATATATTGAAGTAATGCTAAATAATGAAAAAGAGAAAATCACTGGGGAGAGGGGGGGGGGAATCCTCTTTTGTTTGACATGCAAAAGACAATAGGTTTTTGCAAATTTTATGCAATCCAATTTACACTGAACTGTGTTGAATGTCAAAGGACCCGATAATTAAATCCTTAATTAAATATAGCAACGTTGAGTGTGTATTTGATGTCAGGATTTATTATTTATTTTTTATGTTGGCTCAATTTCAATGTAATTTGCATTTCAAAATATCAATTGCAAGGCTTTTCATTTTCTAATGATGCTTTTATACTTGAACCCATCTCTCTCTATCTCTCTCTATTCCTGTCTCTCTTTTACTATATTTACCAAAGCCCTAGAACTCCTCTTCACTTCGGTAAATATAATTTCATCTGACACAAACGTTGTTGCATAAAAATTGATGACAAAAAAAATTAGTTTTATTTTTTATAAAGGTCTATTTACAAATTCTGTGGAACCATATAATCTTTTTTTTTATTCGTTTGTTTTTTCCTTTTTTTTATAAAGTTTTTTCTCGAATTTTGGACGAAAATTCATTAAAGATGGAGCTTTTTTAAATAACCATTGTTTTGGTTATTTATATCAACTCTCTATCTCAAAGTAAATTTTATTTGTTAGAAATAAATTTTTGTTTGGTTCAAATAAGAATTTTATTTGTTAGAAAAAAATTTTATTTTGGTAAAATAAATTTTATATCTTTCAAAATATTTTATTTGGTTCAACAAAATTTTTATTTGATTCAAAAAAATTGTATTTGGTTAAGATCAGAATTTTATGTGGTTCAATAAAATTTTTATTTGGTTCAAATAAATTTGATTTGGTGTGCAAATGAGAATTTTATTTGTTAGAAATAAATTTTATTTTGGTAAAATAAATTTTATATCCTTCAAAATAGTTTATTTGGTTTAACAAAATTTTTATTTGATTCAAAAAAATTGTATTTGGTTCAGATCAGAATTTTCTCTGCTTTAACATAATTTTTATTTGTTCAAAAAAAAAATTTTTTTTGTGCAAATAAGAATTTTATTTGTTACGAGTAAAGTTTATTTAGTTCAAAAAAATTTCATTTGGGTGAAATAAATTTTACTTGGGGGAAATAAATTTTATTTGGGGGAAATAAATTTTATTTGGGGGAAATAAATTTTATTTGGTTTAACAAAACGTTTATATTTGGTTCATGAAATTTTTATTTGGTTCAAATAAATTCAATTTGTTACAAATCAGGTTTATTTGGTTTCAATAAATTTAAATTGTTACAAATCAGTTTTATTTTGTTCAAGTAAAAATTTTATTTGTCAGGTAAAAAATTTTATTTCGCAAATAAAGAACTGTATGTGCTGAATAAAATTTTTATTTCAAAACAAATAATTTATTTACTAGTTACTGAGGAAAATATACTTTTTATTTCATCCAAATAAATTATATTCAATTCAAATAAAATTTTTTCTGCACCTTAAAACGTGTTCAATATTTTTTTTTAAACACTCAACAGGAATTTTGTTATGACAAGTGCCTTCATATTTACAGTTAATTAATTCCAGGAGTTTTATCTATATCATCACACCTCATTTACACACTTGTAGCAGAATTTTTAATGATAAAAAATATTGATAAATGCTTTTAACTTTTAACTCATTTGGTCAATTTTTATTTTATTTGTATATCACAGAATTTACATTTTTTATTCAATTTTTTCTCTTTCCTTAAAATTGTAAAAAAATGCAAAAATAAAATTCTTAAAAATTGTTTTACATGTCATGTCACATCATGTGACCTAATGAATTGATCTGCTATTTTTTTGACCTAAATTTCGAGGAATATTTCCACTTATCATACTCAATGATTTTTTGACCTAAATTCTGTCGATATACATATAATTTCGCTCTTGATCTCTGAAATTTTGACTTTTATCCGTCGCCTCTCGACTTGCGACTTTTGACCTACATTTCATAGGCTGTTGAGTTTATTGACCTATGACGTTGACCGACATTTTCAAATTGGACATAAGTAAAATTTTCCCCCTTTTATATTTTCAAGGGAAATTGATCTTTTTGACACTTGATTCAAGTTTTGTGTTTGTGCTCGCCACTTGACCTTTTAATCTTAGGGGTTATTTTCCCCTTTGGACCTAAATTTCTAAGGGTTGGTTTTCTATTCAGCTTAGGAATTGAAACCTGTTCTGTAAAACTGTTATTAATAATTTTATTATTATTAAACATTTATTAAGATTATTAATTTAAATAATAAATAAAGAAATTCTTTCTTTCTGTCTATATAATTTTTTATTATATAAATTTATCAATTAAAATTTAATTAGTATTAATTTATTAATTTACTAATAAATTTTCTTATTAATTTATTACCATATTAATTTAATTTTATACTAATTTTTTTTATTAATTTAATTTAAT